TGTTGTCTTTCTGTAATTCTATTTAAATCCATCAACACCTGAATGGGACCCTTTTCCCTAATTCTATCCCATCTTTCTCATTTAATATGCTTTAAATTTTCAAATTTTCTTGTTGTACTGCCTTTTCCCAACCCACTATATCTCTAATGATAGAGAAAATTTAAACTATAGGTTAGTTATTAAGGTAGCTGAAGTACAATAAGTAATGAATTCCTTTAAGATTTACCTTTTCTGTAATTCTTGTTGTTTAAGGTGATGGCTAACTGACACTTTGACCTGTAACCTAGCTGTAGATAACATTTAACCTGGAGAAAAACAAAGTAGAAATGTTTGGGTAGTTTTAAGCATTGTATGTGTTTTAAGTGCTGTATGTGTTTTAAGTGCCATCTGTTTGTTATATGTCTGTGACTATAACCATTAACAGGAACTAATTGTAAAAGGAAAACAGAAATTTTACTGACTAATACCACCGGGAATGAGCTAATGGCTAAAACAAGATATAAAAGGAAATGTTAAAACAAAGGACAGCACAGACATTGATCAGATGAGTTTCTGGTGGTCCCACCTGCTTGCAAGTAAAGGTTTTGTTTTTTTACCCAAATTCTGTGTCTCCATTCATTTCTTTCTGTGATTCTGGAACATTTGGTTCCCTGAGTAGAAATCAGGAAAGAAGTGGCCCTTTTGGGCATCAGCCTGAACTCCACCAGAGGGAGTGGCTCTCCGTCTCCTTGAGAGGAAAGGCATGCCCCTGGGACTAATTTCCTAGGCTCCCCGACAGGACACAGAGATCCACTCACCAGTTTCAGATTGCCCAAACCCAAGATCGAAGATGACAGAAGGAGGGCTGCTGCTGTTGGTGTCTCCTCTATCTCTTTCCCGGCTGGGTGAGAAACCCTGGAAACCCCCTAGTAGCTAACTTTTGGTTTTGCTTTTGTTTCATTTGTGAATTTGTATTTTGTAACTTTGGGCAAAAATAGTGCAGGGACCTGATCACCTCTTCTGCTTTGCCATTTGGGGAGGTAGCTTCTTTCCTTTGTTTTGGTTACACTTGGGGGGGGTCACCGGGAGGGAATGTGATAACTTCTGAATAAATGTGTGAGTGAAAGAGTTCTGGATAGTAGAGTGAGTGGAATGAGCTGCTGAACAAGACAAAGGGAGGAAGTGCTTGCGCTGCTTAAGGAGTCTTCCCTGAGTCACGAAATTTGTGTGCAGTCTGTCACGGAACTTGTGTGTGGTCACGTTTTACAAAGGCACAATAGTGAGCTTAAGTGACAGCCCACCTTAACCTGAATGGGCATTAAAGTGGCTGAGAAGCCCGCAGCCAGGCAGGCAAGTGAGTGATCCCCCACCTTTGCTTGTCTTGCATCTCTGTACAAGGGTACCCATACACACACTAACACTCTGATCGGCCGATTGTGGGGACAGAAATATCTCATCCTATGTTTTGGAATGCATGCTTTAGAATTTTT